GAAACCTCCTTACCTCATATTCCAGATCCGTAGAAAGTCGTAAGTTATCAGTTAGTAGCCATTATTAAGAGAAAAGAAGGTCTCACAAGTTGGATTCCCTTATTTATCAAGCGAGCAGTCCATAATAGCGTTGGGGCGCGCTCTGCCACGTACCGACGATCGCGGCGATCGCCGAGGTCGCCGCGATCGCCGCGATCGCCGCTGCTGTCGCGAAGTATGAACGCTGCCTAAGCACTATGCGTTGTACGGGAACAAGCTCGTAGTTTATTATTCTGTTTTTCCTTTTCCTAACCTGATTACTTACTACCTGAAAATAATGAAATTTCAGGTGAACGCCCAAAACAAAGGAGGAGCGACGGCATTACATTTTGCGGCTCTAAATGGAAATGCCTACCTTGTCGAGCTGTTACTCAGCCATCCAGGCATTGATATGGTGAATAGAATTGAACTTGATTTCAAATCTTTTATTCTCTAGACTATAGTAAATGACTTATTGAGAAAACTCCACATAAGGCAATAATAATGGTTACATCAAACACAAAAAAATATGGAGAGGAAACCTGAGATACATGGCAGCGGCATCTACGAATGTGTCGGAAATTTTCAGCTTTTGCGCAGCACATCGATGAAGGCGACTTGATCTCTACATACCCTGCTCGCCTGAGCGTCTACAGGACGCCTGGCGCTGACGGTGGGGTTGGGAGGGAGGGGGAACACATGGGGATGTTGTGCCGCGGTGACTCTGATCGCCTGTGCTATTCACTCGGCTTGGAGAATTGAGGGATACTATCTGAGTGAGAGGTGCAGACGAGCAGCCATTGTGCCATATCTCCCTTCACTATGTTAAAGCTGTTAGGTGGCGTTCAGATTTGGCGATGACGCGCAACGACGCTTTACAATTACAAAAGCGCTCTGTAGACAGTAACGGAGCCGCGGACCGGTCTTGTCGATCGTTCCCGGTCTGCAAGCACGTAATCAATTTGCGCCGGCCGCTTGTGTTGCGAAAGAGTATGAGGGAATAGGATGGTAGGTTCTGCCCGGTCACGCAGACTGGCATCGCGACATCGGCCTGTCTGCGGCGGCTGGGGTTGCGTTAGACTGGTAAGTCGTCGGAGTCGTTTGTTGTAAGCGTGGCGTTTACGTCGCTTAGCTTACAGTGCATTACAAGCGCGGCTCCTCGCGTCTTACAGTTGCGTCACCGAAAAGTCCGTGAACGCTACCTTGAGTTTTCACTCGGATCCCGCCTTTCCGGCTTTCATCTTATTTGGGTATGCTATTTACAGAATTTACGAAATCGTGATGGAAATCGAGCAGTCGATCTATGCAAAGATGTTCCTAAAAAAGCCTGGCAAGATGTGGCGAAGTTACTTACAAATTGGAAGAAGCTTGAAAAAATACAAGTGAGTTGAGAATGGCGCAATTTTTTACAACGATCTGCTATAATCTGATATTATCCGATAGGTGGACTTCCTGGCAGCCGGTAATGTTATGGTCCAACTTACTGATGGCGCAGAGACGCCTACTAGCGCTATCCTGGCCGAAATCGGTCGCGAACTGAACATTGAAAGCGGCCAGCTAAAGGTGTTCGCCCTGTGGGTGTGTTCGGAAAGTCTAAGTGAGTTACCAGTTAATCTATCGCCACTGCTGTGATCATTTACAAATCGATTTCTGTGCAGGTCTCCAGTTGAAGCCTGATCACAAACCGCTGGCACATCTAAACGTGAAGAAGTGGCGGGCTAAGGTGGACAAGTGGACGGATCAGGAGAACTCCCGCGAAAAACCGCATCTAGTCCTTCGCCGCAGCGCGCATGCATCGCTTTCAACGGAACTGAAGGTATAGTTGATTTTTCTTTTCCGGATTTTGCCGCAATTGCGATTTTACCCTTGCTACTATAGCTGATGTGGGCTACGTGG